AAACTTTTTCCTAAAGAAATTAACAGATTGTTAAAAAAAATCTTCTACATCCCAGGAAAGTACACTAAAGACCATGCATAAATTCACATAGAAGTTTCTAAATCCAACAGAATAAATAACCCTAATTCCAGGCCTACAGCTACAAATGCCACTACATTTCTGTAGCATTCAATTTTCCTCAAGACAGAATAATGATGAAGGCTGCCAGAAAACTCACTAATTGCAGGATAAGAAGAGAGATGGTGTCTGGCTGCTGACATTTCACAAAAGCCTTATTAGTGGATGAGGATCCGAGCAACGCAACAAAATATGCAAGCGACACACCAGAGGATCAAGAATCCAGCACAATTAAAGCGCAAAGATCCTCAGAAGAAGGAGGACGGACTGGCTAAGCGTTATCTGGAACAACACCTTCTGAGCCTCTGAATGTCTCAGCTCCCAGCCATGCCGCTCTCCCTGCTGTGCAGGCCAATGCTTCCCTCTCCCTCTGGGTCAGTGACAGTGAACCTCTTAGCCCAGCGCCCAAGCTGAAACCTAAAACCCACTTATTTACCACAAAGTGCCGACCCTGCAATTAAACTTGAATATTGAGGTTTTAGGTTAGGAAAATACAACTCATACATTAACATCTTTTGCCTTAAAGGAAAAAGAAACACCAGGTATGGCATGGGTTCCCTGCCACTGCCCAGTAGGACACACTGGCAGGCAGGACTCGAGTAAATGTCACAGTTATGGCCTCCTTATGTGAATACTTGGAAAAGAAGCAGTACAGTTTTAGATTACATAAAGGAATCACAATGCTTAGCCTGTTTTCAAGAAGAGCACCTGCTTCTCATCAGTGGGGTAATAAACTGGAATGACACTTTGCAGGGGGCATGTGGCAGTATTAAACTGCACTGAAAACTCCTATTACTCAGCAGTTTCACTTCTAGGAATCCACTCTATAGAGATGCTAAGAAATCTCAAAATGACCTTTTTCCGTAAGTTGCATCAGTGCACCAGCTTCTGTACAACCTCAGGATAATGCAGTTACACACCAAGCGCTTGATCCAGCAGTTCCATTTCTTCAAAAAAATGCTCCTCATTACTCTAATTTCATGAAATAATACAAAACTAAATCAGTGTGATTCCTATTGCTCTGAATAGCATCATTCCTATTACCTTTACTGGCATCATAATTTTTAATCATAATCTCAGGACCAAATAGACTTGTACTTTTCATGAAAGCTGTATTTATTATAATTATTTTCTTCTCCCATTAAGTGTGTGTAACTTGCTAATACTGTGTCACTAGGTGTCAGTGCTAGGAGCTGCTAGCCACTTTTTTTGTAGTTCAACATATAGAGTATGTTTCTTCTTCCAATCAATTAAAGTGATTACAACGAAGATGTAAGGAAAATTTCCAATTAGCCAATTACTCCAGAAATAGCAAAAAGACAGTTCCCAATTGCTGCAAGCCTCATTCTCTCAGCTATATAATGTGCATAAAATTTCTCTCAACCCTGACAGGCTGTTTTGAGAACTACATAAGTTTCCACAAGTCAATCACTCAGTGACTGGCTTACAGTAAAGACTCAAAATTTGTGGTTGCCAGCAACAACATCGGTGGATGAAAACAGCCTGGCAGAAGAGTGAAAGCACACTTGTTGTCCCTTAGGAACATCATCAACCCTCCATGCTGGGTAAGGCTTCCTCCTCCCCTGGACTTCAGTTTCTTCCTCTATACATGCGAGTTAATAGACTAACTTTTCCATAAATTGTTTTTCAATGCTGAAAAGTTCCTCGCTTTAATTTACTAACTGTCAATTCAGGGAAAGAAATATGGTAAACATGGGTGGGGGTACCTTCATGGTGTCAAAACACTTATTGTAACACATAAAGTGTAGAGACTGGGAATGCCATACTGCAAAGGTTGTCATGAACGTGCCTGTAAATGACTAGGAGCAACTGCAGGAACCAGGCAATGACAATACCATGTAATCAAAGCTGTAACAAGAAACTTCAAGGTCAGGGGAGAGGAGGGGAGGGGAAAGTCTGATTCCTAACAGCAGCAGGAGGTTTTCGCAGCTGGAGACAGGTGGAGAGTCCCCACAGTCCAGGGCCTGACTCTCCTGATGACGCAGAAGGTTGTGGAAGCATCAGATAGAGATGGAAAGCGTAGAAGCAAAGTTGTACTTTTATCCACCAAGCATGCAAGAGTACAGCTGCCTTCTCTCAGAAAGACAGGCAGGGGTGCCTGAAACGGAGCCACGTTTGCAGGGGGGCTCAAGATGCTGGTTTTATTGTTCAGCCAGCTACCTGAACTCCTTCAGCTGGGTGTGCGGGGTCCCTCATCTCTCCCTGCCTACTGGTCTGTATCCCTACAAGGTCAAATGGGAACTGAATGACATGCAGGAGTCACTCAAAACCCAAGGCCGCAGTGAGTGGACAACTGTTCACTCGTATCCTCATCACAAGTGAGCCAAGCTATCATTCTTGTGTCTGCACTCCCATTTTCCCTTGCTTTTTACTTGCCAGCCCTCTCTGAATTTGACTTTGATTGATGATTACACAATTGTGTTGCATTTCTTTTGTCATGGGCAATGAAATTGAATATCCGATGTTCTTTAAAATGCGTATCTTTTTAAAAAGGGGTTCTTAGGACAAAGCATTTCTTGGCTGTTTTACTATTTTAAAATATTTGATTTGTTACTGAACTTCAGATACTGAGATTTGTTTTTTTTATATGACAGCCACATGAGTAAGGGTTTACATTACCTTTTTTTTTTCCTTATTCAGAAGCACAGCACCAGAGAAAAACAAACATGGTTACTGAATGGAGCTTTATGTTAAAATAAAGAGAGAGAGAAAAGAAATTTTTGTCACATTTTTCTGGGAAAATGTCCCTTACACATAGTGCCTAGTATAACGTCCGATAACCATGCCAAGTGGAAGTATTATGAACTTATTTCATATCTAAATAAATACTAATAAGGAAAACAGCCCCATAAGAATTCTGTTACTGAAGGTGGAATATTTCTTCTGTTTGGTACCAGGGATCAGACTCGGGACTTCATGCTTGTGAGGCAGGTGGTGGAACCACGGAGCTAAACCCCTGGCCCTAGAATTTTTCTTTTACAGGAAATGGTTGAGAAACATCTGGGCAGCCTGTTATAGTAGAAAGTTTCACCAAGGAAGAGTGCAAAAATAGCAAAAAAGAATCATTACAAACAAGACAAAGTCTTTCTTGACTACAAATTACATCCTACATTTGGGTTTGAGAAACTAGTCTCATTGTTTTACTACTGGTTTTAGTTTCAATTTAGTTAGTAACTGTATTTCTGGAATCTTCCACTAAATAAATGACAGTCTATCATTTTTTAAATAATTGTCCTTCCTTCTTCAGTACCTGAAAACAAACATGTGGTGTTCTTGGAGCATGATAAAATTCATAATAAAATAACAAGCATTTTGACTATATCTTTATAGTTCTATATGGAAAACACACAGTGTAAAAGGCATAAAATTATAAAAGAGTACAAATTAAGTCTATTGAAGTTTTGCATAAATTTAGCTTTATAATTTTTTTGATAATGCTGTGGATCAAACCCCAACTTCATGCATACTATGTGTGCACTCTACTACTGAGCAAAATCCCCGGCCCTGTAGTACGATTTTAAATAGAATAGATTTGAGGATGTGTTATTTATTTTGTATAAACATCAAAAGTCTTCTAAGGCCGCATCTCAGGATGACTTTGGAGAGTTCAAGGTAAACAGTACATGCTCAAGTGAGCATCATGCCTTGTATTTCTACAACTTACATCAGCTTCTGCATCAAAGCTTTACAATTTGTCACAAGTATGTTAATTTGTCAATCCTTGCTCTTAAAGTATGTGTATAAGATTATTTGCAACAAGTTTGCCTCAGAGAAATAACAAGTTCCCAGGGAAAAAATTAAATGGCATATGAGCACATGGTAATCTCACCACTACAAAGAATGAGAGATTCGAAAGCCTCCTTCTACCTCTTTTCTAGCTATCTTTCCCAGCCAGAGCATTAAATCCCAGAGTCGCAGGTTCCCTCAGTTCAGAGCTGGAAGGACTTTTGTTTTTAAAATCTAGCATTTAGCAGTACTTATTTTATGCAAGGCAGAATGGGCCTAGAGGAAAGAAGAATCCAAGACCTTAATAAATAGAGACTTTAAGTTGGGCACATGAAAGGCTAGATAACTCTGGTTCTTTTTTTTTTTTTCTTTTGGTTCCAGGGATCGAACTCAGGACCTTGTGCTTGCGAAGCAGGCGGCGGAACCACTGAGCTAAATCCCCCGACCAAGGCTAGATAACTCTGAACCAGGCTCACTAGAAGAATCAAGAAATGCTACATAAAATAAAACGAAATCTCCTTTCATATGCACTCCACAGGGCCTGAGCCTGAGGAAACTGAGAATTGTGTGTGCTGAAGTTCTGGATGTCAACGGGAAGGTAGCAGACTGTAGGTCCTGGTCAGCGGAGGCTTGTGGTTTAATGCCCACAGATAAAAGATCGGGCCCAGAGCCTGAACAAGGCAGAAAGTTGGAGCTGAGGTTACTGCATAAAAAAGCTAGGGTGCTTATGACGCCTCCTCTGCAAAACTGGTTACAAGAAAACAAAAAATCCGAAGATTAGCACCAGGAAACTGTAAGAAGTTTGTATCTTGACATAGGCTATGGATTTAGGCAATGAAGATTCCTCCCTGAGAAAGCGTAATCAAACTTGTGCTTGAGGAGGACATTAAAGAACCCATGTGAAATACATAAAACACGGTCAATAAACAGCTAGGTGAAGCAGAGGCCTTTTTCATTAAACCTCAGTCACAGTCTCGATCCCAAGACCCTCACCTTAGATTTACCAGCAGTTACTAGGAAAGAAGACTTACAAATGCAGTGCTTTACTTGAAACTGCTACAAATGTTTTCTGTAAGAAATTGGGTATTTGCTTATTTGAATGGTAAAATGTGACACAGGAAACAGAATTTACTCACCCTGGCTTCCGATGAACCCAACAGGTTTGTCCTTGCGAAGCTACTTTTCTTTCAACGTGCCACCCTTGTGCCCCTGTGCGTGTTCCCTCGCTCCACGTGCACCACTCCAACTGGATTTCCTTTACAGCCGCGGGAATGTCCTTAAGCTACTATGGCAGACACCTGACCCCATACTATGCCTCCTTCTTCCCAAATTCACTGTCTTCCCTTCTGTTCAACTTGTAGGCGGCACCACGTTTTGATTCCCTCAAACGCTGAGCACCTCCTGGCACACTGTAGGTGCAGTCCTTGCCCTTCAGTGGAAGACGGACGCTTGGGCCCGAAACCCAGGGGCTCCGGCAGAAGCTCGCCCCGAGCTCCTGTTCTAAGGGCAGGGAGAATGATGCTGGCGGGGTAAACACCATATTCTCTCCCCTGATAATCAACCGGACCAGCAACAGGTGAGGCAAATTTGCTGAAACTCTGAGCAAAAAGCCTGCCTTGTCCTGCTGGAGAGAGCCTCGTAAAGAGATCCGCACTCTCTCTACGTACATTAGGAGCGTTCCACCCCAGGAATTGTTAGCAGCCCTATTTTGAGTGCAGAAAAAGCTGATGCCACACAGGGGTATAGGGAAGCGTGGAGTGAGTAGACAAGCTCTTGACAATATTAATGAAATGCACCTCGAACTAGTCTTAAAATTCACTTTTCAATTACATGAGCCAATAAATCTTCTCTACTGTTTAAGTCAATTTGAACTAATTTCTTTCTTATCTTATTTGTGGCCCTAATGCAAAAACTTCAAAAATGTATGCACCTGGGCCGGGGATTTGGCTCAGTGGTTTCGCCACCTGCTGCGCAAGCGCAAGGACACGAGTTTGATCCCTGGTACCAAAAAAAAAAAAAAAAAAAATGTATGCACCTTCCGAGCTAGCAGTTCGTCTTCTAAGAGTTCATCTTAGGAAAATGTTGAAGGGCTATAAACATATTTGAGTTAAGTTCATTTCTTTATAACGAATATGAATTTTATTCCATATACTTATGTGTAAGAAATATGGCAGTTTGTTTCTGTATATAAAATTGATTCAACTCTGAATCTTAATTTTCCAACTACCATTTTTGGGTACCCTGTGCCTCCGTTCTCGAAGATCGGGGTACCCTGTGTTGCTCTGGGGGCATGCCTGAAAAACATCCACAGGGCCACTACTTGCCAGGTTCACTGCTTGAGCTTAACAGCAGTGGGTGAGTTTGTTACTGAGTGTGGGCCTAGCCACCCTTACGACAGCCGCTGAGCCACAAGGGAAGATTTCCTAAAATGCTAACAAACGAGCAGGTTTTGTTCTTTACGTCTAAGTCTCAATTTAAGACACAGAAGTTGAGCCTGTGCTGACAGCCAGATACTGGAGCACAGTGACAGTGAAAGTGTTGTCAGAAGAAGGCTATGAGAAAGTAGTCACAGCGAGTAAAGACTTAAGAGTCTTTATTCCTCCCCCAGATCTTCTGGATGTTGCTCACATGCTCGGTTGTTCAAGCCTCGCTGCACTGCCTCCCATCTCTTTCTTTTCCCCACTCTACCTGTACCTACTTGTCACAGAGGGACAGCACTCCATTTACAGAGCCGTAACCCTCAGAGGAGCATTGCAAAGCGTTTCCTCCATTGGAAAAGCTCACTTGAGGAGCTGATTCCGTAGAAAATAGAGATACCATTTGACTCTGCTGTACCTGCTCTAGATGCTTTCCTGAAAGAATTAGAGACTTCATACTAGAATGATAATTGCATATCCATGATTATAGTGGCACTGTTCATGATAGGCAACTCTCTGGAAACAGCCTAGATGCCTGTCAACTGATGAATGGGTAAAGAAAATGTGGTGTATATGCAGAATGGAGTCATAAAGAAGATTGAGATTATTGTTACTTATAGTCACTCTACTGTATAACAGCACACCAGAATTTATTTGTCCTAATGCTAGCTCAGTTCCCATAGAATGTCCTCCTTCTCTCCCTGCTACTCTCTGCAATTTCTGATAACCACTGTTCTCTCGACTTCCATGAAATGAGCATTTTAGATTCCGTGTAAGAAAAGATATTCTTGATTCTCTGGATCCATCCACTGTTCTAGGCAGGTCTATGTATTGAACCTCAGGGTGGACCGATGTTAGTGTTCTCCTTCCTCCCCAGAGGAGCCAGATTCTGCAACGTGCAGTTAACCATCTCATGTGATGGCCGATTTCACATAGACGTTTGCCTAGGCTGTTTGATGTAACACTAGTTTAGATGTTACTGTGGCATTTTTTTTCACAGATAGGATTAGCATGTACAGTTAGTTGGCTTTAAAAAACTACATTGTATAAAGTAGATGAACCTCATCCAATCAGTTGAAACCTCAGGAGAGAAAATTGAGGATTCCTGTGGAAGAAGGTATTCTGCTTCCAGATTGCAATGCAAAAGTCTTGCTTCAGCTGGGCATAGTGGCTCACATCTATAATCCCAGGACTCTGGGAAGCCCAGGCAGGAGGATCCCAAGTTTAAAGCTAACCTGAGAAACTAGCCATTTTAGTGAGACTCTGTTACAAAAAACATGTGTGTTTGTTGGGGCAAGGAAGGTATTGGGGGTATAGCTTAGAGCAAAGGCCTTGGGTTCAATCCCTAGGTAGATAATTAGATTGATAGAAATAGTAAGCTGTCTTCATATGTGAGATGCAATACTAGAAGGATAAACTAGAAACTATCCAACGTAATTACACGGGGAATTGGAATACACAGAGGAAAAATGAAAATGAGACTTAAGTACATAGTTATAGAATAAATTTTTTCTTATGGAAAAAGGTTTTTTTTGGTTTACTCTTTTTTTTTCTTTCAATTTTTTGATACTGGGATCAAACTCAGGACCTCATGCTTGCCAGGCTGGCCCTGTGCCGCTGAGCTGCATCCCAGGGGTTCACAGAAGCTAGGAGTGTAGTCTACCACTAAGTTACACTCCAAGGCCACCAGAATTGAAAAATTTCCCCATTGATTACGTTTCAATAAAAATTCTTACACAGCTTTCTTATTGCGCAAGGGCCAGAAACTCTAGGTTATTTGCATAAGAGCCGTATAGAACAAAATTATTGGATAATGTCAATTTGGTTTTCCAGATGGTTGTATCAGTTTGCGGTCTATTTTTTTTCACTTTCTCATGCTTCACCTCCACTGGACCTGCTCTACATGTGCGTGCACACACACACACACACACACACACACACACACACTAAGCTAGGCATGATAGAATATTCATATATAGTAAACAATGATCCTTATTTTCCAAAAAAGCTAATTGTATATGGGCACATGGGCAGTAGGCAGTATGTGCAAAGAATCTTTATAGGGTACAAATGAGGAGGGAGGAAGAAATAAATATCCAGATATTTCATAACAGTATACCTAAGCACCAAGACTTTGCTCCGTTTACTGTTGTATTCCTATGGTCTATAATCATGCCTGGTGCATCGTCAGCATTTTATCAATTTTTGCAGAATGCATAAATGAATTAACTGAACTGTCCATTTCTATTAGATTTTCCCCAACTTCTCCTTGTATTTGGATGCCTTTTAGACAAAAGTTCTAGAACTAACAAAACTCAGTTATAAGAGATGAGTTTAAACTTAACTTTTATTTTCCATTTTGTTGATGATATTTCTCCATCTTTGCTCTGAAGGAAATAGAGCACTGAGAAAAAGTCTTGAGATCCTTGGAGTGTTTTTACTGACAGGAATAAAATTTCCTTCTTGAGAGTCCTAGAGATACTCTTAAGAAATGGGTTAAAAAGTCTGTGTCCTTAAGAAACTAAAATTCTTACCAAAGGAAAGTACCCCTCATCAAAGTAATCCAATGAAAAAGCCATCAGCACGCACTGTGACTAAGGCCTGTGCTGTGAGCAGCGAGTGGTCATCAGAGGAAGGAGATGAGGCTCAGGTCACTGCTGACTCTGGTGTGGGTGGACATGAGGACCCTGGAGCCCACCGAGTGAACCTCACGGGCACTCAAAGTCCTAGCCATCTTTGAAGATGCAAAGCATACACCAAGTACATACAAGTATACACAAAGTCTGTCCTGTGGACATTTGCCCCCAACTTCAACACTAATATATTTCTCCTGTTTCTCTTTAGACTCTGCTCTATTTACACACTGTCTATCTTGATGGACAGCTAATTGGTCACATATGTATCTATATAACCCAACCAGTCATGTAAATTCATCTTTGAGTATATTCCATGTGCTAGGTATAGAAGTTACACTTCATGATTCTACAGCACTTAATCCTTTAAAAAAATTACTTCCAATCTCAGATTTCATTTTTGTCTCAGTTTTGACAAAACTCTCTGAAGTAAGAAAAACACATACATTGGACAACCCATTTACAAATGAGGGTGTGGAAACTGGAAAAGATTGGATTTGGACAGCCCTGTATTTGAATTCTAGCCCTTCCATTTACTACCTGGGTGAATATTTATTCTACTACTCCAAGCCTCAGTTTCCTGCAAAAATGTGGATTAATGCTAAGTACGATGTCATATAGTTATGAAAATCAAGTGTAGTTAGGCAAATGTTCCATTACAGGGTACCTTATAGATTATAATTATTTAATAAGTAGCAGCTCTAAATGCATACATAGAGGTATATTACATCGTAAATAAAAGGCATATGTTGATCCCAGATTTCAACTTCAAAAGCAAGGTTCTCTTGAATATGTATTGGTTTGCCTTGATTATATCGTGAGCTTCTTTATGACACAGAATCCTTTTAGGCCATTTTTGTAGCCATAGAAAGTTTGTCACGCTATTTTTCAATTAGTACGGACTCAAACATTGTTCATTTAAAAAAGAGCAGTTTTTCCCTGAATTCCTTGAATTATCAGTCATCATCAGTCACTTCTCTAATATCCCAGATATTACCGTAAATATTATATAATATTATTGTACTGTGTTTCAGTTAGGGTTGTATTTCGCACTGAGAAGCAGGAAACATGATGAGTAGCTTACATGCTTAGGAGAGTATCTCATGCAAATCAGTATCAGTTGTCCAGGATTTATGCAAGAGCAGGACAAACAAAGCCATGAGAGAACCAGGATCCTGCTATCTTTTTATCTTCATTGTCTCAAAAGAGATGTTGAAACCTGAGGCAGCATGAACATTAGCACATCCGTACTCCCAGGCAAGGAAAACCCAGAAAAGGGCAGGAGCTGTACTACTGGCCACTCCTGGACGCAAAGGACAGTGTGGGTTCTAAACATAAATATATCCAGCCTCCATTATTATAAAGAAGACAAAGAAAAGGACAGAGATAGGGAAAGACCTGTTAAGTCTGGAGTCAGCCAGTATCTGCCTCAGGAGCTGAAAATTTTGCTCTACATTAAATTGTGCAACACATTAAATTATTTTTTATTATTTAACGAAGATCATTTTAAATATAGCTTAGAGCTTTCACTTTCCAGAATGGTAAAAAAAATTTTTTAAATGAGTCTCATTTTGGAGCACTGCACTAAAGTCACGCATTTATTAAAGTCCTTGGTAGGTGAAGGAGTAAATTTACTTGATACCAGAAAAAAACTTTGCAAGGTACCAGGAAAGATCTCAAGTCCTCCATCCTCTATGGTTATTATTACA